TCTTTCCAGAGGTGTTAACGACTTAATCATTGCGGGCGTTAGCATATGAAAAAGTAGGAAATGAGGGAGTGTGTGTGAATGTGAGGACCGTATTGCCGCGGCCCCAGGTAAGCCCCGGCCCGGGGAAAGGCGCCCGGCGGGGCGGGAGGGGGCCCGGCCGCCCACCCCTGTCCCGGTACGGAACMCCCCGCCCGGACCCTCGGCCGCGGGTGGATCCCGGGGTTTGGCTTTTAAATCCGTCCCGCCGAGCCCTTTGCTCCTGTACTTCCCGCACGTGTTGTCCGATTTCGGTAAATACAATTAAATTAGGARAATGCCCCAGGACCCAACGATTTCCCATGAGCGGCGCTGGTTTAGGGAACGCAATTCCCCTCCTTTTCCCCAAAATCCGTCGGAGCATTGGAAGGGTCGCTGTCCCGGCCTCTCGCAGAGCCTCTGATGGGCTGCTCCGGCCGGGACGGGCCCGGCTCCGCGGAGGGACCCGCGGGGAGGATGGGGGGCCCTTTCCGCGGGCGCGGAGCCGCTTTCCCCCCGCGCTTCGTTTTTCCGCGCGTYCCAGCGGATCTCCGCGGCTCTCGGCCTCCGCACCCGCGCACCGCCCGCTCTCACACGCACACGGACTCACGCACCCACATGCACACTCACACACACGCGCCCTCATTGTGCGTCCCCCCCGTCGCACCGCAAAGGCTCTCCGGGGGAAAAAAAAGAGGAAAAACCCCAACTCCGCAGCCCCCTGTTCCATTTGTTGCGCTTTTCTTCGGCACAATAAAAGTCAMATTAATTGATTCGTAGTATTAATTACGGTGCTTAGCGTGAAAAGAAACGTTTCCCCTCGATTAGGGCTCTATTGTGTTAATCCCGTGTTCAATCACGGCTGCCGGCTGAGAGGGGCAGCCCCGCTCCGCGCTTCTCCGCGCCCCTCCGCGGGCGCTGCTGCGGCTCCCAGGCCTTCACCTGCTGAAGTTTAGGGCAGCATTTCGAAATCCACCCCTTTGGAAAGTATTTAGGAGCCAACCCGGGCGGAGTGGAGGGGGAGAAATGCTTTTCTAAAAATCAAGAAAGTTTTCCCAAAATAGCACGGGAGCCCCCGAACCCATCGAAGTTCAAGGGCTGAAGGTGAGCGGGAGCAGGAGCTGCGTCCTGCGAAGCGATGAAACAATTAAAGCAGCTTCTGTGGAGGTGGAAACCCACAATAATGACACGGCCAGAAATAGAAAGTGGGCGCCCATATAGACAGATAGATTTAGCAACAGGAGAAAAACAAACTGTATCGTCCGGATCGATACGGAGTCAAATAGAGACGCGGCAGTGCAACGGGAAAAGAGAGGATGGAATAAGTTATGATAGAGAGGGAGAAATTAATTACAACTCAATCTGATTCTAATATGGGAAAGCAAGATCCTGRCTGCGAAGCGAGTTAAAAATAAATCCGGAGGCTGAGCCTGGGGGGTGTGGGGGGGGATTGTGGAGGGAAGACAGGGCTGGGGCAATTTCTGCTTCTGTAATCGTTTTAAAGGAAGGRGAAACCAAAGGTGTCCCCTTTCAGCTCCTTAAGCCTATTACTTTCACTAATGAGTTATATAAATCGTTGACCTGACCTGGATTAAACCAGCATTGTCGTTCGGTCCAAACGTGCGGGGGTAAAAGGGGCTCGCAGGAAAGGGGCTGCGGGTGAGAAATCCCTGTAAAATAAACACATCCAAGGGAGGGGACACGACAGGGACACGCAGGCATCCCCCGAGCGGGGCTGGGACCGGGGTCGGGGCCGGAGCGGGGTGARCGGCGGGGCCTGAACACCCCCTTCAGCCGGGCTTTTTGCGAAAGACGTAGATTATTAAATAATTTTTTCTTCTGTTTTTAGGCCTGTATTCGCACGTGTTTGGTTTCTTTTTATTTCCTTCTTTATTTTCTTTTTTTTTTTTTTTAATTGTAATAAATCGCCCGCAAACCCGGCAGACCTCAGTGTAAAACGAAATTGGTCATGTTTCCAAAACGGTTTCGGATTTATTTGTATTGGAAATGTATAAACATCCATTCTGTAAAAGGCAACACGTTTAATTAACGATGAGAGAGCAGTTAGGGGCAGAAAGCTAGTAAAATTGTGTGATAAATTTATGGCATTGTTAGCGTGCTTTTAATTATGGCTATTATGTTAATTATTTCACATTAGCATGGAGTTATCAGCAGCATGTCAGATTTAATCAAAACGAGCCTTTCTCTCGAAAATTGTGCTTTTCATTCGCCGCGAGGAGAACGGGGGGTCCCGAGCCGAAGCCGCTTCCCCCCCATTCTTTATTTATTAAAAAAATAAATAAATGAAGGCTTTTAAAAAGAGACTTCCCAATGAAAAGAGTGGCTGGACGTGATCCGGGCTGGTGCAGGCGGCAGATCCCTTTAGGCTACAGCRAGCAGCGCAGGGAGGCTGAGGAGAGAAGCGACGCTCTTGTTTTTTAGGAATTCACCATTTTCACCCCCTCCGGAGCAGGCATTTTATCATTTTGGATCATTCTGTCAAACAATATGATGTTGCTCATTTTTATCTGTCCCGTTTTACAAAGCCCCCGTTCACACTGCTGGCCAGGACAACGCGCCTCAGTACAAAAGAATAAAAGAGACAAGCCGGGAGGATACGGGATCGCTGCGCGGATCAAAAAGGAGGAAAGAGGAGGAGGTGTGTGCGAGTGTGAGCGTGTGAGTGTGCGTGTGTGTGTCCGCGGTGGGGCTCGCAGCGGCCCGGGGCCGGCTCCGTGCCCGGCTCTGCCCCGCAGCTCCGCGGCCGCGGCTCCCGCACACGCTCCGCAGCCCCCGGGGCCGCCCCCACGCCGGCCGCTGATGCCGGGGGAGGCGACCCGCCGCTTCCCCAAAGGCTTTCGGCGCTTCCGTGCAAAAATAAAAATGATTCAAAAGAGAGGAATACAAAGGAAAATTAAAAATCGCCGCTTTGCCGGCTGGCGGCAGCGAGGCGGGCGGCGGAGTTTTGGGGGGTCCGTCCGCGCCGAGGTGCGGAGCGAMCCCCGCCGCGCCGACGGCCGCGCTTCCCGGCTCCGCGCCCGCGGAGAGCCGCGGCCATCGCTCCGCTCGGCCCCGCGCAGCCCGGCCGGTTCTGCCCGCGCCCCCTCCTCCGGCCGGCCCCKCTCCCCCTTCCCCACGGGAGCGGGGGGCTGCGACCACGGCAGCTGCTGGCTTATTTTTAGAGCATTTCCATTCCTCCGGTTAATTTTAGATCGATCCATTATTTAGCCCCAGTTCGCCTTTAGGGAAACCCAAGCTGGGGGCGGCCGGCGCTCCGCGGCCGCGGGACTTTTCCCCGTGCGGGGTGCGCGGCCGCGCAAGGGAGGCAACTTTGGGGATCCCCCTCCCACCCTCGGCGGAACAGCCCCGCGGAACCTGCGCCTCCCCCGGCTGGTTGCGCGCTGCCTTTCCCACTGAGCTTGGCTTTCACCAGGCGCAGATTTCCCATGTTCTGCAGCCTTTTC